CGACAGCGTGGGCGGGGCCTGGGCGGGCTCCGAGGCAACGCGGGGGCGGCGCCTGTGCAGACTCCCCGCCCCCTGGGGGCCCCGCGGGACTGGCGCGCCCTGTTCTGTCTCGTCTCCGCACAGCTCTCGCTCGCCCCCAGACGGTGAGATGCGCGTCTGCACTGCGCACCTGTGTGTCACTGGTTTCCTCTGTAAGACGTGGCTGCGGACACCTCCCGAGGTTTGCTACCGCTCGGCAAATGCTACCGCTGCTTTTGCCGGCCCCCGACTGGCGCTGGACTCCTGACCATGCTGGACCCTAAGCTGTGCACAGGAAGAACAACATTTTTAATCATCGGGATCGAAGACACAGCGTCAAGACCTAGGCCGAGTGTCCAAGACGCACTCCCTCTAACGGGCCGCCCTCCAGTCCGTTGACGTTAGGGGGCGTCTTTCACGCTCCCGCCTGGCCTGTGCAGCCCTTGCCTTGCCTGGTCTGCGAGCTTTTGCAGCTGTCATCGAAGAGCTTGCATTTGGCTCCTTAGTTCACCTTTTCCAAAGCAGGGAGCAGGGCGAGGGCGGCGAAGGAGTGGGGGGTACAGCCCTCGCTCCCTAACGTGGGCAACGGCCACGCAACGCTTCCGAGGGATTCTACAAGTTACCTTAACAAATGCATGAAATCCGCATTTTACAGTGTCTTAATGTTTTAAAGTGGAGCCTTTTCAGTATAACTTAATTACTTAATTTCTCTAAAAATGTCCTTAAAATATGTGTGTGCCATCATATTTCCGTGGCTTCCAGCGATCAGATGTGTCTTTAAGAGGTTAAGTATCCGGTTTCAAGAGGCACAGGACTAGCTTTCCCAGTTGCCATACAGAAACACAGCACTGATTCAGTGCAACTTTTTAAAAAAAAAAATATATAAGGTCTTTTAAAAATATATTTTATTATTTTTTTACAGAGAGGAAGGGAGAGGAACAGAGAGTTAGAAACATCGATGAGAGAGAAACATCAATCAGCTGCCTCCTGCACAACCCCTACTGGGGATGTGCCCACAACCAAGGTCCATGCCCTTGACCAGAATCGAACCTGGGACTTTTCAGTCCACAGGCTGGTGCTCTATCCACTGAGCCAAACTGGTTAGGGCTGATTCAGTGCAACTTCTTAACACAGTAATGAATGCAATATCCCAGCTAGACTGACCAAGAAAAAAAAAGATACCTGAGCCCTAGCCAGTTTGGCTCAGTGGATAGAGCGTCGGCCTGCGGACTCAAGGGTCCCAGGTTCGATTCCAGTCAAGGGCATGTACCTTGGTTGTGGGCACATCCCCAGTAGGGGGTGTGCAGGAGGCAGCTGATTGATGTTTCTCTCTCATTGATGTTTCTAACTCTCTAGCCCTCTTCCTTCCTCTCTGTAAAAAAATCAAATATTTTTTTAAAAAAAGATACCTGAGTGCCGATATTAACAGGATAAAAGGGGACATTATGGACAATTTCACAACAACCAATTTGACACTGTAGACGGGATGGACAAATTCTTTGAAAAATATCTTATCAGAACTGAAACAAGATGAAATTTTAAAATCCGAACAGCCCTTTACTATTAAAGAAATTAAATTTTGTTCAACAGAGTTCCCACAAAGATAATTCCAAGCCCAGATGGTTTCAGTGGTCAAGTTTATCAACCACTTCAGGAAGAAATAACACCAATCTTGCACAATTTTTGTTCAGAAAATAGAAGAGGGGACACATTTCCTCTCATAACACTGATTACAACCCCGAAATACGTATTATCAAAAAAATGTACAGATCAATATCCACACAAACATAGACACGGACATTTTAAATAGCAAATTCCATTCCTGTCAAGGGCCTCCATTGCAGGCTCGGCCCCTGGCCCTGGTCTGGGCACCTATGGAAAGCAACCAATCGATGTGTATTTCTCATATTGCTGGTTCTCTCTCTCTCTACGCCCCCCCTTCCTCCTTCCCTCCCTCCCTTTTAATCATGATGATTAAATATATATATATTAGCAAATTGAGTCCACATTCACGAGTCAGAAATCCTACAAGCGCCACTGAGGTATTTATTATTCCAGTGAGGAAACTGAGGCACGGCGAGGTCACCACGTAGGAAGCCGCGCCAGCAGAACTGAAACCCAGACATTCTGACTCAAACCACTGCTGTCCAGAGGTCAGGCTGGAGAGGCAGGGACCAGCTCATGCAGGGCTGGGTGTGGCATAGGATGGCATTTGCATTTTACTAATATTTTAAAAATATATATTTTATTGATTTCAGAGAGGAAGGGAGAGAGAGAGAAACATCAATGATGAGAGAGAATCACGGATCGGCTGCCTCCTGCACGCCCCACACTGGGGATGGGATGGCCTGCAACCGGGCATGTGCCCCAACTGGGAATCCAACCGTGACCTCAGGGTTCACAGGGCCACGCTCAGCCCCTGAGCCCTGCAGGCCGGGCTGCAGTTTATTTTCATGGTAATGCAGAGGCGGCCGAGGTTTCTCAGTGGGGTTTTCATGAAGCCGTTTGCGTCTCCTGCCATTAATCTGGTGGCAGCAGTTTATTTAAAGGCAGGGGCGGCTGAGGTTTCTCAGTGGGGTTTTCATGAAGCCCTTTGCGTCTCCTGCCATTAATCTGGCAGCAGGTGGAGGGGGTGGGAGGGGCCGGGTGCATGGATTTGCCATCTCACAGCTGCAGGCTCTTGGGGAGCAGCTGTTTTCTGTCTTTTCCGGCTTCTAAGGTTCCCTTCCTTCATCCTCAAAACCGCCCCTTCCCCCCACTCCGCGGCGTGACCCAGAATCATCCTTCCAGAAGGATCCTCACCTCAGTCACCGCCCGGAGATGTGCCCACGGGCTCCGGGAAGTTGGAGGCCACGACCCAGCTGCTCCCCCCAGGGGCCTGCTTTCATGACTCGGGGAGCGGAGACAGGAACACCAAGGAGTGTGGTCACAGAACAAGCCCGGTCCACGTGGCGCATCCACCCACGACCTGGGTGCGTTCCTTTGTGAGCCCCTCACCCCTGAGGGCTCACCCCACCGCCAGGACCTCCCTCCTGGAGCCCGGGCCATAACCCGTCCTGAATCCATGGCTGCTCCCAGCCGCCCAGGCACTCGTAAAGCAGGACCGAGAAAGAATAATGCTGACAAGAAAGACAGGAGCCCTGACCGGTTTGGCTCAGTGGATAGAGCGTCCGCCTGCGGACTCAAGGGTCCCAGGTTCGATTCTGGTCGAGGGCATGTACCTTGGTTGTGGGCACATCCCCAGTAGGGGGTGTGCAGGAGGCAGCTGATGGATGTTTCTAACTCTCTATCCCTCTCCCTTCCTCTCTGTAAAAAGATCAATAAAATATATTTAAAAAAGTAAAGTAGTTTTTTTAAGAT